ATCGATGTTTCTCTCTCATAGATGTTTCTAACTCTCTATCTCTCTCCCTTCCTCTCTGTAAAAAATCAATAAAATATATATTAAAAAATAAAAAAATAAAAATATTCTTAAAAAAATAAATAAATAAAAATAGGTAAAAAACATCATTAAACAAAAAAGCAAGTTGCAGAATCACATGTATATTAAGCAAGAATATATGCACTTTTATGTATATATACATATTATGGGAATAATAATTACTGAATTCATGACAGTGTTTACTGCTAAGAGAGGGCAAGAGAGGGAAATAGGATAGCAAAGATTCATACAGGCTCAACTGATCTGTAATTTTATCCCTTTAAAAACAAATAAATCCTTTCCCACAATTAGGAAATGGGAAGAAAAAAACCACATAAACTAAATATGATGGTGCGAGGGTGGGGTAGGGGGACTGAGCAAAAAATGCAGAGGGAGAGAAAGCTCATGAACAGGAACAGTGTAGTGACTGCTGGGGGGATGAGGATCAGGGGAAAATATATAGGGGGAATAAATGGTGATGGACGGAGACTTGACTTGGGTTGATAAACACACAATACAGTGTACAAATAATGTGTTGTAGAATTGTGCACCTGAAACCTGTTTAATTTTGTTAACCAGTGTCACCCCAATAAATTCAATAAAAAGAGAAAAAAAAGGAAAGTAAATAAATCTGATGGTCTATAATTATACTAACATTACATTATTTTCTGTGTCTGAAATATTACGTATTTTTTAAGAAAATTTAACTTTTTGGTGGCTGTGAAGCTGGGGAGATAGGGAGAGGCTGAGGACTTTGATCTCATTGTCCTCCTAGCCCTCTGACCATCATCTAAATGCCCTCAATAAAAACGGTTTGATCTCCCCCCCAAAATAAGATAAAATTAAATTACATAAATTAAAACATTAGAGAAACCTCATTAAAATGACCAAGGAACTTAAAAAACATAATATTCCACTTAACATTTGAAATGGAAACATACCCAACAAATTTAAACTTACTAATACATATACAGTCTTCTCTTTACAAACAGATTTTTTCATCTCACACTCTTGACAATGCTTCCCAATCAAAAACAGACCAACAAAATGTAGGAACAAATAATTCAACACTCTCCAAATTAATCTAATCCTTTTGATTCTGTAGTCTGCCTAAAAAGGTACGGGTAGCTTTGCTACTCTGCTGGCAATTTTGTTATTTTTATTGGTTCGCTACTCAAGTTGTTTTTCCTAAAACAGAAAAAACAGCCACTGCAAACTCTGGTAACCAATCAAAGAACACAATCAAATTTCAAATGGTTGTGTCAAGTGACAAGGACCTTAGCACTCCGCAATAATTTTCTATCAACTTCCTTAAATCAAATAACTTTTTCAGGCCTGAATGGAAACACACACACACACAGACACACACACAAAACAACACACACACAAAATACCAACTATTCACAAAAAGATAATGAAGTTATCTTACTTCATTAATTCTGCTCTAACTGCAAGAAATTCATGTAGAAAGAATATCTTGTAAACAGTTTACCAAAATTTCTCTAACCAGCTCTATCATACTACTAGTGGCCCGGTGCATGAAATTCGTGCACATTAAAAGGGGATTAATTAGAGGAAATATTTTAATATTGCTATTTGCCCTTTCTCTATAATAGAAGTGTCAGAGATGGAAGAAAATTAGTAAAATGTATATGAAAATCTCCCTCCTGTCAGAGTCTCAGGCACGCCAAAGGACCCAGAGCCAAGTCCCCACCCACCCACTCGTGCCTCAAAATTGCATGAAGACTCAGACCCGGATGGCCCCACCCCCATTGGGTGAGACCCAGACCCAGCTGGTCCCACCCCCCTCAAGCCCTGCTGGGAGGGGGATGAAACCTCCTGTTGATCGTGCATAACAACCATTTGCATATTAGCCTTTTAATATTAAGACTAGAGGCCTGGTGCACGAAATTTGTGAACTGGGGGGGGGTTGTCCCTCAGCCTAGCCTGCACCCTCTCCAATCTGGGACCCCTTGGGGGATGTCCGATTGCCGATTTAGGCAGGGATCAGGCCTAAACCGGCAATCAGACATCCCTCTCACAATCCGGAACTTTTGGCTCCCAACCATTCGCCTGCCTGCCTGCCTGATTGCCCCCCTAACTGTTTCTGCCTGCCAGCCTGGTCACCCCCTAACCACTCCCCTGCCAGCCTGATCGACGCCTAACTGCTCCCCTGCCGGCCCGATCGCCCCCAACTGCCCTCCCCTGCTGGCCCAATCGCCCCTAACTGCCCTCCCTTGCTGGCCTGGTCCGCCCCTACTGCGCTCCCCTGCTGGCCTAGTCGCCCCTAACTTCCCTCCCCTGCTGACCTGGTTGCCCCTAACTGCCCTCCCCTGCAGGCCTGGTCGCCCACAACTGCCCTCCCCTACAGACCATCTTGAGGCTGTGGGCGCCGCCATCTTTGAGGGCGTGGCAGTGAATTAGCATATGCCCTCCTTTTTGGCTGTGGGCGCCGCCATTTTTGAGGGCATGGCAATCAATTAGCATATTCCCTCCTTATTGGCTGTGGGCACCGCCATCTTCGAGGGCATGGCACTCAATTAGCATATTCCCTTCTTATTGGCTGTGGGCGCCGCCATCTTTGAGGGCTTGGCAGTCAATTAGCATATTCCCTCCTTATTGGCTGTGGGCGCCATCATCTTTGCAGCCTGCTGCTCAGTCGTTTGGTTGTCCCTCACTAACTCCCAGCCAGCCTGGTCGCCCCACACAGCCTGCTGTTCAGTCATTTGGTTGTCCCTCACTAACCCCCTGCCGGCCTGGTCGCCCCACACAGCCTGTTTGGTCATCCATTCAGTTGCGATGGTCACTTAGACTTTTATATATATAGACTGCTATACCAAACCCTTTATCATTACCCCTCAATATATCTTTTGAATCTTCTTATTCTCCTGTGCCATCTTCTGTATGTTCTCCCTGATTCACCAACCTACAATAATCTCTCCACTCTGTACCAAAAAATAGTAATAGCTAACATGTATAGAGAATTTAATGTATGCCAGTATTGCTTCAATGGAATTATCCCACTTAATAGATAAAACCTTGTGAAATTTGTTCTATTTTTCCTGTTTTCATGGTAAGAGAAACTGAATAAGACTCCAAGGTTGCATGCATGTTAAGTGGCAAGCCAGGTCTCAAACCTAGATTCCAAAATCCATGCCCTGAAATGTACCTGATGCTATCTTCTACTTTTACTACTTACGTATCACTTAACATATTCCCTGTGATATTTAACATTTGTGTTCACAGATGTTGTCTAAACAGCTCAAAATACTACATTCATTCAACAAAAATTTACTGAGAGCCTATATGCCAGGCATTGTTGACTTCTAGGCATAAAAGCATGCTACAAAACCTCTATACAAATAAAAAAGAGATCAATTTTCTAGGTACATAGGCATCCCAGAAATATGGGTTAAGTGCTAAATTAATAATGATATGAATATAGCAATTATAACTGCATAAAAACTATGTTTAGATAAACAGGAGAAGAGTATAATTATAAATCATATGTTAAAGTTGGGCTTTTTAACTATTTCATTGAATTAAGCGTTTAGGTAAGAGTTAAGCAACAAAGACATTAAAAAACACACCCACAGGTTCTGTGTGCTTTCTTTCACCATAACACTGTTGAAACAACCTACAGATGATTAGCCCTCTAACATTCCACTGTAACTTGGCTTTCTTTAGGTATATACACCTGATATCACTATAATAGGCTTGCAGATACTGTAAGTAAATAATATCTATGTAAATCTTCCTATAATTAAAAACTTTTGGGAACTTGCAGCTGATTGTAAATTTTCATACAATGGAATTATATCTTAGAACTGAAAGAAACTTCAGCCCCCTTACTTTACAGACTGATTACTAAATTCTAAAGTCAAATTCCTGGATTAATGAGGATTACACAGCAATGTACAGAAATGTAGTGACTTATATTGCAATAGAAATGCATTTTAGCCCTGGCCTGAGAGCTCAGTTGGCTAGACTAGAGCATCCTCCCCATATGCCAAGGTTGCGGGTTCCATTTCTGGTCAAGGGCACATACAGGAATCAACCAATGACTGCATGGATAGGTGGAACAACAAATACGTAGATGTTTCTCAACCTCTCCTCTCCGCCATTGTCCTTTCTCATAAATTAAATTAATGCATTTCCGTCTGTGTGTGCTACCACCTGCCTTGCACGTTGAGTTTCTTTTAATTACTAACTAGCTGTGTCTTCTTTAACTAACCTCTCCAGGCCTGGATGCCTTCATTAGGAGAAATCTATTGAAGTGTGGTGGTAAATATTTAAAAGACCTCAACAATACGTATTAAGTTGCCACGGTAAAGGGCACTGTTTCAACACTCTTTCACATTATGGCTAGCAGCGTTTGCATCCGTTGCCTTGGGACCAAATCAAGTGCACAGACATGAAGAACCTGTCCGCCCCAGGACACGCACACACACGCCAGCGCAAGCAAGCGCGCACACGCACACACACAGACACACACACACACACAAACCCTAAAATGGTGACTCGTCATCGCAGAGCACTGCACTTTACAACTCGCACACACAACGGCCCAAAAGACGAAAGCGGGGGGGGGGGGGGGGGGGGGGACGACACAAATCTGACACCAGCTCCATCTCCTGCTTTTAAACGCTTGAGGCCTGCTGGAGTCCAACCCCAAAACGCTCTCACAACTCATGGCTCAGGCCTCAGATCTGCATCTCGCTCTCAGCGCTCGGCTTCCGGGGTCTCCAAGGAAGGAAAGGAACGGACCGCCACCGAACAGCCGACCCCTGACCTGGGAACCATTGGAAAATAAGCATGTTTCTAGGGAGGCTTGCCATTCGATGGGAGTTTTCCAGGAAGTGCTGCAAACGACAAAACCGGCGTGCGGAGGGGATGCCAACTTTTGCCGTTCTTGCTAAAACGCCTTCGACCTGGCGCCCTACCGGAGCGTCCGCCAGCTTCTCGGGTCCACCGGGAACGCGCGGCGGGCGGCAGGTCCGGGGATGAGGGCCGGAAAGGCTGGCCTCGGGTGCGGACCGGAGGACTCCCGGCGGCGGCCAGAAAAAAACAGGCAGACCCGAGTCAAGGGGTGTCTCCGTGAGGAGGGATGGGGACGGCCAACACCCCGAAAGAAAAGCGGGGGCAGCACAGGACCCAGCGAGGCAGGCTAAGAGGCGGCGAAGGGCCGCGCTCCGAGGCCAAGACGGGTCCCAGACAGCCGACCGCGGAGAAACAATGGCGCGGGCGTGACGTGAGGCTGGGGGCGTTGCCGCAGCGAGGAGGAAGGAGCTGCCCTGAGGCCGGGGCGGCCCGCGTCTGCGGGGCCAGCGGAGACGCGTGTGCCGGGTCACGGGCCCCGCCGGTGGGCGCTCGGGCGTGGGGCGTGGGGCCTGAGGGGCGCAGGGAGGGGCAGGCGGCGCCTCGGATCCGGGCCGCGCGCTCGGCCGCGCACACTCCTTCCTCCCCAGCTCGCTCGCGGGCTCCCCGCGCCGGCCCCTCCCGCCCGCGGGGTCCGCCGCACTCACCGTCTCGCCGAACGTCTGCAATCCTAGCGCGCAACTGCCGCAGCCCCCTGGGCGCGCGCCCTCCTTAACCCCGCGGCCTCGGCCCCGCCCCCCGGCCCCGCCCCCCGCTCGCTCCCGGCCAGGGACCGGCGCGCTGTTCCGATCCCCGACTCAGCCGCAGAACCAGGCTGCCGCGACGCTCCCTGGCCGCGCGACCGGAGGAAAGCGCCGTTGCGGGACGGTGCCCCTGTCCTTCCCGGGGGTCTAGGCATCTTTAAACGACGGGACTGCTGTGGCGGCCGAGCTGTGGGTGACGCACGTTGACTACTCTTCCATGTCCTTTAAGTCTACATCCCTTGGCCGACTGCCACCTGGGACTACCTCCTGCTCCTCTGCCTACACTCGGAGCCCTTCCCTTAGAGGAAGGGGCTCGCTTGTCCCCCACCACCACCACCACCCCCGCCCCGAATATTCTAGTACAATGGACTTGCTTAAGGCCCCTCGGGTCCAGACCTCCATAGCAGGCCTGAATCCAATTATGACCAAAAGCACTGGCTTTGGGAGGTGTCAGAACTGGTTGTAATCCAAGTTCTACCACTTACAAATGCTTGGACGTGGGGAGGATTAACTGATCTCACGGTGCCCAATTCCCTCGCCTGTAATACAGGGATAGATAACAACGGTACTTACCGCAGAGGCTGTTGGCAGGATGAAATCAGATAAGAGAGGAAAGTGGAGCATCTTTTCATATGTCTATTGGCCATCTGTATGTCCCCTTTGGGGAAATGTTTGTTCAGGTCCTCTGTTCTTTTTGTTCTTTTTTTAAAATGTATTTTTATTGATTTCAGAGAGGAAGAGGGAGAGAGAGATAGAAACATCAATGATGAGAGAAAATCATTGATCGGCTGCCTCCTGCAAGTCCCACACTGGGGATGGAGCCTGCAACCCTGGTATGTGCCCTGAGGGGGAATATGAACCCGTGACCTCCTGGTTCATAGGTCAATGCTCAACCACTGAGCACACCAGCCAGGACTCTGCTCACTTTTTTTAAAAAATCAAATAGTTTGGTTCTTGTGGTGTTGCAAGTTGTATGAGTTTCTTATATCTTTTGAATAGTAACCCCTTATTGGATGTTACCACTGCAAACATCTTCTTCCATTCAGTAGATTGTCTTTTCATTTCGTTGATGGTTTCTTTCACTGTGCAAAAACTCGCTTCATGTAATCCCATTTGTTTAGTTTTTCTTTTGCTTCCCTTGCCGAAGGAGACATATCCAAAAAAAATTACTAAGAGTAATGTCAAAGAGTTTACTGCCAATGTTTTCTTTTAGTTGTTTTATAGTTTCATGTGTTAACATTTAAGTCATTAATCCATTTTGAGTTTATTCATGTATATGATATAAATTGCCCAGATTCATGTGTCTGTCCAGTTTTCCCAATACCATGTATTGAAGAGACTGTCTTTAACCCATTGTATATTCTTGCCTTTGTCATAGATTAATTGACCATATAGGTTCAACACCACTAATCATGGGGGAAATGCAAATTAAAACCATAATGAGATATCAACTCACACCTGTCAGGATGGCTATCCTCAATAAATCAAACAAATGTTTGTGAGGATGTGAAGAAAAGGGAACTCTCATGCACTCACTGTTGGGACTGTAAATTGATGCAGCCACTATGGAAAACAATATGGAGGCTCCTTAAAAATTAAAAATAGAATTACCATATGACCCAGTAATTCCACTTCTGTGTACTGATATGAGAAAACACTAACTTGACATATGCAGCCCTATATTCACTGCAACATTACTTACAATAGCCAAGATATGGAATCAACCTGTGTCCATTGAGAGACAAATGGATAAAGATGTGATATATATATACATATACATATATATTATTTTAATCAGCCATAAAAAAGAATGAAATCTTGCCATTTGTGATAATATGGATGGATTTAGAGAGTATTATGCTAAGTGAAATAAGGTCACAGTTTGTATTCCCAGTCAGACAGAGAAAGACAAATTCCATATTATTTCACTTATATATGGAATCTAAAAAAAAAAAGTAAATGAACAAACAAAACAAACACATAGATATAGAGAAAATTTTGATGGTTGACTGATGGAAGAAGTGTTGGGGGCAATGGGTGAAAAGAGGGAAGGGATTAAGAAGTACAAATTGGCCTGGCCAGTGTGGCTCACTGGTTGAGCAACAACCAATGAACCAGAAGGTCACGGTTCAATTCCCAGTCAGGGCACATGCCTGGGTTGCAGGCTCGATCTTCTGTGGGGGGCATGTAGGAGGCAGCAGATCAATGATTCTCATCATTGATGTTCCTCTCTCTCCCTCTCACGTCCTCTCTGAAATCAATAAAGATACATTAAAAAAAGAAGTATAAATTGGCCCAGCCAATATAGCTCAGTAGTTGAGCACCAACCTATGAACCAGAAGGTCACAGTTCAATTCTGGGTCAGACCACATGCCAAAGTTGAAGGTTTGACCCCCAGTAGAGGGCTTGCAGGAGTCAGCCTGATTCTTATCATTGATGTTTCTATCTCTCTTTCCCTCTTCCTTCCTCTCCGAAGTCTATATATATAGACTTTTTGAAATCTATATATATAACTTTTTAAAGCAAGTTAAACTTTAAAAAAAGTACAAATTGCCAGTTATAAAAATAGGATAGGGATATAAAGTACAGCACAGGGAATATTGTCGGTAATCTATGTATATAAAAAGCTAATATGCTAAAGTGTCCAACTGTCCAACCGGTTGCTCTGATGCACACTGACCACCAGAGGGCCGACACTCAACACAGGAGCTGCCGTGATGCACACAGAGAAACAGCATCATGGACCTGGCACCCACAAAGCAACACTCAGCTTCCCCCAAATGGGACACAAGCCCCGCCACCACCCCAGAAAGACAGCCCACCAAATCGCAGCCAACACTGCCAAGACCCCATGGTGCAAAATGGAGCCCACAACCCAGCCCAGCCCAGAAACGGGTCGATGTGGGCACTGGGTAATGATGTCACATAGCAACACCTGGCTTCCTCTCCCTAGCAACAACTAGCCTCCTTGCAGTTTCTTCAGCCCAGGAACGCGACTTGCTTTATAGCCAGGTGCAAACATTTCGCACTTTAACCAAATGTCTGTGAAGTGTTTTCTTGTGCCTCATCTCATTTGATCCTCACAGAAGTCCTGGAGTCTGTCAATAGGAGACTCGGTGCAATCCTATTTTCTTTTCATTAGCCAGAAAATGGAGATTTAGAAAGCTTAGAAACTTGACCCAACTGAAAAGAAGTAAGAAATGGTGGACCTTGAAATTGACTTCAGGTTTTCTCACTGCACAGAATATAGTCAAACACTGCTGTAGTTAAATATTTTACCCTTTGTTCTCCCTGTGTGATCTACAATAATAATCTGCTTTGTGTTGATACATACTGCTGTGTTGCTGACAATTACCTGAAAGAGAAGTTGGGGTACTTCACTGGGCTGGAAAAAGTTTAGCTAAATCAAAAAGCAGGTCTAATTAAGCAAGTTTATTCTATATCTATAAAAGGCTAAATTGACTTGTGCATGTGCGATACATATAAAGCTCTTGCTGGCGCCAATCGCACGTGTGTGTTTCCATCTGTCATTGTTGATCGTGCATTTGGTTGACACTTGTATTATAGAGAAAGGGCAAATAGTGATATTAAAATATTTCTTCTAATTAATTTCCTTTCAATGTGCACGAATTCGTGCACCAGGCCACTAGTACTGTAATGACAATGTATGGAGTCACATGGGTAGTAGACATATCAGTGTGTTCACAAGTTATATAAATGCCTAATCTCTGTGTTGTACACCTGAAACTAATATAATTGTATGTCAACTGTAATTGAAAAACTTTTTTAATTAACAAAAAAAGATAATGGAAGATTCTCAGCACAGTCACAGCACTCAAGAAATGTTTATCAACCTCCCTACTACCCACCCACCACCAATTTGCATCTGCAAGAAGACTTCTTAAGGACAGAAAACCCACTATTTCCAGAGTAATGCATTCCTTGGCCTCAACAGTTCTTACCAGTTTGAAAGTATTTCTGAAACTTCCACCCTCTGGCCCAGAAAACAAACAGATCTAATCTCTCTTGACTTTCTACTTTTCAGATACTTGAAGACTTCTGCCCAAGGTCTTATTCCAGACCAGTATCTTCCACTCCTTCCATTGTTCCTCCTTTGCCCTGGTTTTAAAGGTCTTTATCCTCATGCTCCTCATGCACCTGGTCTGTCTGATTGTGGCTCTTTTAGAGTATGTCACCCAAGACTGACCAAATGTCTGTGGTACCATCAGAGCAAAGAAAGGCTGTAGCTTCTTCGTAGGACCTACTGCCTTAAATTCACACAGAAAAGTTCTTGGCACCTGCTATTGACTCACTGAGCTTGCAGTCAACTAAAACCTCCAAGATTTTTAAATATGTGCTATGTTGGAGCATTTCTACCCTCCCTTGTGTTTTTGAGCCAACTTCAGGTCAGCTAAGGACAGGCCTTAGGCCTCCCACTTACTACATATTTTAGGATATGTGGAAAAAAAGAATAGAAGTTGGAAGTTAGTCTAAAACCACCACAACCAAAGTACATTTGGAAAAAGGCCAGCATTTGTGTATAAAGACCATAGCGCTCAGCAAATTGTGTGTGTGTGTGTGTGTGTGTGTGTACACGTAATGTGATCTCAACTGAGCAAAAAAATGTACACGCACAGCCCAAGCCAGTTTGGCTCAGTGGATAGAGCGCTGGCCCGTGGACCAAAGGGTCAGGGCATGGGCAGGAGGCAACCAATCGATGTGTCTCTCTCA